GGGAAATATGTGTTCTTCAATTTTTCTTTTTCCAAGATTGTTTTGGCTGTGCTGGGTCCCCTGAATTTACCTGTGAATTTCAGGATTGGCATCTCAGTTTCTGCAGAATGGGTAGCAGTGATTTTGATAGGAATTGTGCTGAAACTATAGACCAGTTTTGTGAGTTTTTCCATCTAAGCAATATCACAGGAGGGATTTTAATGTGGAATTGTATCAACCTGTCTAGGACTGCTGATAACCATGGTCTATGAAGCCATCATAGGTGCTGAGGGGAACAGAAGATGGAGAACTACTGTTATCACAGTATCCTGCTTCACAAACAGGTTTTACCTCCCAACATTCTATTAATACAAAGGTTCTCAAACTCTGATGTATATCAAAATCATCAGTAGGGCTTTTTAAAACACAAATTTCTGGGTCCCACTCTCTGAGTTTCTCATTCAGTAGGTCTGGATGAGGTCTGACAATTTCCATTTTCTCTAAATTCCCAGATTCTGCTGATGCTGCTGGTCTGAGGACCACACCTTAAGGCAGTAGAGTGGCCTGCCTCCTCAATGAGAAAGTTACTTTTTAACCCATCCCAAAGCCAATGTCAACAAGTTGATTCCAACTTGGTGACAAGCAAAAGAATGAAATTTTACATGTCTGACCATTCATTATAACATTTAAAATTGAAAGGATTAAGTGTTGGTTTTAACTTTGCCTGTTTCTCAAAATTCCTCCTTCTTTTTTCCCTTTTCTTTTCATGCTTATGATCAACTTCCACCACTATTAATTTGAACAATCAACAAGTATTTATTTTGTATCCATTACATTCCTGGTACATTGCCATGTGCTGAAGAGGATACAAATATGTACAACACATGGACTCTGTTATAAAGGAGTGTCTAATTCATTTGTTAGGGTGGTAAGTATCACATATATTAAACGTTAACCAGTAACATAAGGTCAATAACAACCTAAAGCTCAAACTGGCCCAAGTGATATGATTAAATGTTTGTATTGTGGTATAAATAGCAAAGACCAGAGGGATGATGAGGAAGTAGAGATCAGTACAGGCCAAGGGGCCTGTGAATGCTTCCATGACAAATATACTAATCTATCTATGCATTCCTTCATTTATTCATTCACAAAGTATGTATTGAGTCCTTACATGGACAAGACACTGTTTTAGATGCCAGGGATATCACAGTGAACAGAACAAAGCCCCTGCTCTGAAAAACAAGACAGGGTATGGGGATGAAAGAAAGGGAGGAGGGGCTAGGTATGGTAGTATGGTGCAATGAATTGCTTGGTATGGCCCTTAAAGCCACAGTCTTCATAACTCTCACCAAATGACTGGGTGGGACTATGCAAATTTGAGGTGCTTGTGGCCCACTGGGGGGAATGGATAGTTTGCTAGGGGTGTAAATGGGTACATGGCGCCTTTGTGGGGGTGGGACCATGGAAATGGAGTGTGTGGAGCCCCGGCATGAGGATTGGTCAGTTTTACCATTTTACTAGGTCTGAGGTGAGCCATCCCTGAGGTATATGTGTGTGGGGGGGGTGAAATCTCACTACCATCAAGAAAGAAGAGCCAGAAGTGGAGCACGTCCTTTGGACCCGAGATCCCTGCCTTGAACCTCCTCGGTCCAGGAGACAGAGAGAAAGAACTATAACCCTTTGATGAGACAGCAAGAGATAGCAAGAAGCAGAGTCAGAAAAACAGCAGCAGCAGAGGCAGCAGAACTAAGTGGCTAGCATGAGACAGTGTGATGAGCTTCCTGGGCCACAGAGTGAGAAAGCTGAGTGTCTTCGGGCAGGAAGCTTGCTGCCAGAGCGGGGTGCCTCTCTGGGCACCTATCTGCAGAGCTAAAAGAGCTTCGTAACACTTGCCTGAGAAGGGCAGAGGCCAGGCCAAGGAACTGAGGGCCAGAGACAGACCTATTTTCAGACAAAGCTGAGAGGAGGCTGTCTTGATTGAAGAACTGTATCCTGAGCATTCCTGTTCTTGAATTGTAACCTACTACTTCCTTAATAAACTCCATAATCATGAGTATTGTCTGTGAGTTCTGTACGGCCATTGCAATGGATTATCAAACTCAGTAGAAAATGCTGTGGGCGGGATGGTTGGTGTCAGAATTGGTAAAAAGGTTGGAGGGTGGTGTGACATATCTGACTTCTGCCTCTTAGGAATGAGCCTTGGGCTACTGATGTTTTTTTCGAGCCTTTTCCCCCATGTGAAGTTAGAGGAGGACAGATGCTGCCTCCACCACACCCTTTTTGCGGGTGGTTAGAGAAAGCTTCTCCAAGATGATAGTATTTCAGCTGAGACCCACATAAAGATTGGGAGCATATCATGTAGAAGATCTCGTGGAAAAGCATTCCAAGTAGAGGGAACAGCAAGTGTAAAAGCCCTGAGGTGAGCACATGATTCTGTATTTGAGGATCAGTAGGAGGACAGGGAAGGTCCCTAGTTGGCATAGTTTGTGCTCAACTTCAGAGCTAAAGATTGGGGGTTCGAACCCACCTGGCAGTACTGCACAAGAAAGGCCGGGAGATCTACTTTCATTAAGATTACAACCAAGGAAACTCTTTGGAGCAGTTCTACTTTGTAACACATGGGGTCGCCATGAGTCAGAATCCACTCAATAGCAACTAACAACAAAAACTGGAAGACAGGGTAGCAGAAGGGAAAGGAAGGAGAGAGGAGATGAGTTGGAGAGATCTAGCAGAAACCAGATTAAAAAAGGCTTTGAAGCCATGCCAACGGCTTTGAATCTTATTTTTTCCCCCTAACATAATGAGAGGGTTTTGAGCAGGGAATGACGTGATATGACTCATGTTTCCAAATATCAATGGTTGCTCTGAGGAGTATAGAGTGTATAGACTAAATATAGGCTGAGAAGGTAAGAGTGGAGACTAAGACACCAGTTAGGAGGCTGTTGCAAATAATCCCAGTGAGAGATGATGGTGGCTTGGACTAGGGTGAAAGCAGCAAAAATTGGCAAGAAAAGGTCAAATTTAAAATATCGTTTGGAGGTAGAGGCAATATGATTTGTTGGTGGATTTACTATAGTGCACAGTGGCACCAGTTTAGGCACTAAGACAAGCAGAGCTGCTGGCTGAAGCTGAAGAGAATTTGGAATAGATAAGGAGGAGTCCCTGGGTGGTACAAACAGTGACTGTGTTCTTGGCAGTTCAAATCCATCCACAGGCACCTCGGAAGAAAAGCCTGGCAATGTACTTCTGAGAAATCAATCGTGGAAAACCCTGTGGAGCACAGTTCTACTTCAACACACATGAGGTTGCTGTCAGAATCCACTCAATGGCAACTGGTAAGGAGCAAGCAGTCAATGAGTATCAGCAACTGCAACAGCTTAGGGGTTATAGTGCATTCCCCTGTTTCCACCAGGAGGAGAGGCCTGCTCCTGAAACTTGTCTGTAGAGAGGAAAGAGGACAATGAGCTGTTGTTCCAAATAGGTTGGAGCCAGTCTTCAAAAGTTGACTCCCTGGCTCCTTCCCTTTCCAATTTGGTCAAAGTTTTACAAACATTTTATGAAGTATTTCAAATGCTCACTGAACATCCACAAACATAAGCCAGATATTTAACAGCAGGGCTTGTGCCACCAAGTAGCTCATACTTAATAGCAGAGACAGACTCCTAAATACTTACAGGGAAAAACATAGCAATACTTCTCTGGCACTTTTCCCACTTATAAATGTAGGGGCCTCCTCCCCCAAGGACCCCAAGGGGCATCTTCCGTGTGCTTAAGAACAAGTCTGGCCAGTTGTTATAGACTTTGTCTTTTTTTGGCTCTTTCTCTGCCCTGGCCCTGTTCTGCCACATACTATGTCCATGGGCAATGGGCCTCTACTGGCCACAGCTGCTGCTGATGCACTGGAACCTGTGAGGTGCCAAAGCTGCCCAGTGTGGGTGGGGGAGTTTCTTTCCCCTTCTGTGTTTTGCTTTGTCATGGGTATAGAGGTAGGCAAAGAGGTTAGCTTGTATCCCAATCTTTAACATTGATTTTAGTAAAATATCCCTTTCAGTGTTTACATCAACTACCTTTCTTTCTTCCTTTCATTTCCATAGGACTCAGATTTAGTGGGAAGCTGGGTTATGACACAAATACAGTAATAAACAGGATACTAAGTTGCCTCCTCCACATACAGATTTACTGCTGGGTCCACAGCCCTCCACCGCTGCATGAAGGCAGACAGGTCTGAAGTGGATGCAACTTATGTTGAAGTCTGGACCCCAGTTCTTTGGTCCTGTCATGTTCCTCCTCTCTTTTTGACCACTGGTTCCTTCTTCTGGAATCCGGGTCAAATATCAACTCCTTTCTCTTCCTCCTCCAATAATAGAAATGGTATGTTTGTGTTTCTTTGTTTCCTCCAGAATCTGTTGAAATCCCAACGGGTAGGACAACATCTTATGCCATACTTTAATTATATTCCAAACAAACAAACAAACAAACAAACAAAAAAACAAACAAAACCTCACTGCTGTGTAGTCCATTCAACTCACAGCAACCCCTTTTTGGATTTCCGAGGTAGTACCTCTATGGAAATAGATTGCCCAATCTTCCTTCCGAGGAGTGGCTCGTGGGTTTGAACCGCCAGCCTTCAGGTTAGCAGCCAAATGTCTTAGAGACTACAGCACCAGAGCTCTTTCCTTAAAAAATACTTAGCACACTACACCTGCAGAGTGCATTATCTGTGAATAGATGAATGAATGGAGTGAGCGGGGGTGGACTTCATCCTGAGGCATGGGAAGCCAGGACAGTTTCGTCATCAGTTCATTTGTTAAGCCCAGTTGGGAAGCACCAGGGGCCAAGTTCACACTAGTAGTTCACCGGCCCCCCTCCGCAGTACAACTGCTTTACAGAGTTGTCTAAATAACAGCTTCACCTTTGCCCCACTCCGGAGCCCAGGCTTAATTTACTGCCGTCTCTATTGGCTGCGAGACTGTCCAATGGGCGTCCGCTCTCGTTCGCGCGTGTCGCGAGCTTTAGAGGGACTGGCAGAGTCTGTGCGGCTTGGCCTGGGCTCCCGGCTGCTGTGAGGTTGAGGTTGAGGCTGGGCGGACGGGAGCAGAGACCATGTTCCGAGCTGCAGCTCCTAGGCAGCTCCGGCGGGCGGTGAGTCCAGACGGGGAGGGTCAAGCCCCGTGACGATCCCACCAAAACTTGTCAACCCAGTGAGAGTCTTGGCGAAGGTCACTGGCTCTGACAGGCCTGACTGCTCCTTAAGCAGGCAGGCACCGCCTGGCCTGGGGCTCGGGGCAGGGGTTCAAGGTTGTGGGATCGAGAAAGGCCTCTGACTCCTTCACGACCGCTAGCTTGGGCACATTTCGGAGGTCGGAAGTCAGGGTGACCCGGAGTAATAATGAACTTAGGCTGCTGCTGCTCCTTCTCCATCCGGTCCCATCTTCTTCTCTGACCCTCTTCCCACCCTCCAGGTTCTCTCTGGCTCTGCTTGCGCCCCAGTTGCTGCACGCCTGGCTGGCTTTACCCTAGGGAACAAAATGTCGCCGCGGGGAAGCCCTCCTGGAAGTGTTTAAAATGTGGCCTGGAAACTTGACAGTTCTGGAAGAATTAAACATCTCCAGTGGGGCACACTGTGGCTGCTCCGAGCCACTCACTGTCAAGTGTGTGGGGAAAGAGGGTATGGAAACCTCTGGCTAGTGAGCAGTGTGGGTTTTAGGTGATTGTATGTGCAAAGCCTGTGATCCAATTTCACGGCTTTAGCCAGTTTTGACGGGGGCAATCCTTTTATATTGCAGGCTGACTTGCCTTTCAACTAGTAGATTGTTGGTTAAATAGCTAGGGAACATGGTAGTGGTGGGTTTTTGGTGCTTTGAATAGTGACGAATCATGAATTTACCACATTTCTTACTCCATTCTGTGAGAGGGGCTGATAGAAAATATATTTTTGTTCGTAGGCTATGAGAGAACAATATTTGGAGATTGACCAATGACACGTAACACTAATTTATATTGTGGATTCTGTAAATTTTCTCATGTACGTTTAGATTAAATGAGAAACAAGATGGCTAAACTTGGGTCAGACACTTTCCTGAGGTTACCTACTTTTTTTTCTTTGGCATATTTTCTCCATTCACCGCTGGGATTTTCTCTTTGGGACGTAGTTGATGATCTTTCTAGATGTTTGTAGATCCTTTTCTTGTGCTTATTCCTTGTTCCCATAAAAAGATTTCAACTCCCCTTTCTCTAAAAACTTCAAACTAATATCCTTCAGGTCATTGTTTCTCTCTTTTCCTAAGGAGAGTTTTTTCCTCAGAGGACCTAGACATAAAGAAAGTCATGGATTTGGGAAAATCCTGGGAATCAGAGCCAGACTCATGGAAGTATATTTATCTGATCAGTAATTGGAAGGTGGTTTTGTGGATTGGTTAGAAGTCTGGCATATGTGAAGTGATAATTTTCGTGGTGGTGGTGGTGGTGGAGGGGGGTTTAGGACTCAGTAATCTTGTAGTAGAGCTAACAATAAATAGAATATTTAGTTTTTGTAATTCTTATTATCTACACAGTTTGCCAATATATACAGATAGTAGTCCAAATTTTTATTATAGTTTTCTGAAGACTTTGACCTTGACTTATTTTTAAAATTTGAAGTTAGGCTAAGGAGAGTAGCTGTTCTAAAGTCTTTGAGAACTAACGAGAGATTTGAATAACAATCGCATAGAAAATGGCTAGAACCTTTCTGAAATAGGACACACAAATACACATACACATATTTAGCTTTTTATTTTGAAATAATTTCAAACTCATAGAAAAGTTGCAAGAATAGTACAAAGAACTCTCAAAACTCTTAATAGGTTTCACACATTTTCTTTATGTCTATACATATACACATATTTTTGTTTCTGAACCATTTGAGAGTATATTGCAGACATGCCCTTTTACCCTTAAATATTTTTAGTATGTATTTTCTAAGAACCGGGGGGTTCATTTTCCACAATTTAATTATCAAAAGAAATTTAACAATGATGCAATATTATTATCTAATATATAGTCATTTAAAAGTTTTATCTATTGTCATCAGCTGATTTGTCCTTATGATTAGATTCAGGTTATGTGTTTTTGGCAGGAATATCACAGGAGTGATGTTATACTCTTTATCAGTGCATCACATTAGGAAGCACAAGATGTTCATTTATCCCTTCTTTGGTGATGTTAATCACTTGTCTGACGTGGTGTTCACCAGGTTTCACCATTGTAAAGTTAGTATTCCTCCTTTTTTATTTTTAAGTAAGTTATGGGGAATCTCTGAGTGGTATAGATGGTTAATGTGCTAGACTTTTACCAAAAGGTTGGCCAGTTTGAGTCCACCCAGAGGTACCTTGGAAGAAAGATCTGGCAATCTACTTCTGAAAAATCAGTCATTGTAAATTCTGTGGAACACAGTTCTACTCTGACACATATGGAGTTGCCATAAATTGGAATCAACTAGTCTACTGGATGGAAATTGGTTCATACTAAAACTATGTACTTTTTGGAGCCCTAGTGATGCACTGGTAAAGCACTGAGCTGCTAACTGAAAAGTCCGGGGTTCAAACCTACCAGCAGCTCTGCAGAAGAAAAGACCTGTCACTCAGCTCCTGTAAAGATTTCAGCCCAATATGAGGCAGTTCTACTTTGTCCTACCGGCTCACTATGAGTTGGAATCGACTCAAGGGCACAGCACCACATAATATAAATGCCCTGTTTCTTATCATACTTTCATGTACTAGTCTGAGCATTGATTGATGATTCTTGGCCTGAGAAATGATTACTTTGGTGGTTGTAAAATGGTGTCTTTCGGATTTCCTTTTTCCTTCTACATTTAATTTAGTCGGTTGTACTCTGTTATTACTCCATTTTGGTGCTCAACTTGCCCCATATTTGTAAAGTGGGAGCACTTTCAATCTGGCTCCTGTAAATATATTTATAATGTCATAAAGTTGAAGTAATCAGAATATCAGTTGTCATCAAGTTGATTCCTACTCTGTGTAAGAGTAGAACTCTGCTCCAGAGGGATTTCAGTGGTTAATCCACTTTCAGATGTGGATTGCCAGGCCTTTCTACTAAGGTACCTCTGAGTGAACTTGGACTGCCAATCTTTCAGTTAGCAGCCAAGTGCACTTTTTACAACTTTTTACATCCTCTCAAATCCCCATTCTTAAAAAAAAAAAATGAGTAAATTCAGGAAGAACTATTTCTAGAAGACATGTTTTTAGTAATAAAGTTAGATACTGTTTTTAAAAGATTACTGTAAGCTGTGAGAATGTAAGTTAAATGACTTGCATTTGGTATCCAAGACCCATTTTTGGTTTTGATTGATTGTGCCATTGAGCAAAGTCTTTCATCTTTGGTAGGGAGAGGAGGGTGGTCACTCAGTGTTATTTGTTAGCCAAGTGGTATTTTAAGTCTACAATAAAGAACTGGAGAACCCACTGAGAGGAAAACAGAGAGGCAGGCATCTGCAATTAGTTAGCATTCTTACAGGGATATTAATCTGTATTACTATTTTATTAATTTACATTTGAAATTGCTTGGTTGACTAATAAGCAGATGCCAAATAAGTATTTTATGTGGAGAGTGAAGCAACACTTTCAAGGTCACTTGATAGCTCCTGTTAGTGTAGTCATTGCCAGATGGGAAGGAATATCTATTATGATTCAGAAGCTGTGAAACTGATATGCAGGAACATGGCATTTTCAGAGTCATTGATGAATGAGATTGAACTCTGTAATTCACATGTAAATTTTAATTTCTTTTGAAAGAAGAAAGCCAATTTTGGCGTGGTTCTAAAAAAAATTTATTGTAAAAGCTGAATTTAGTAAAATTATGCTGCCTGTCAATGTGTCTACTAAGGGTCTGGTCTGTTTTTAAAGTGAAATAAATTGACTGTATTTTTAACATTATAATCAATGTCAGATGATATTTCTATTCATGTTTAAAAGCTGCCATATTTTATTACTAAAGAGGTTAAAATAAGTTATTTAGTTTAAGTACAGAAATATAATGTACATTCTATTATTGCAAAATGTATATTAAAACAGGGACATGTGACTTTAATTATATATTATTTGTCTTTTTGAGTAGAACTTCCAAAGCTTTTACAGCTTATTCCTGCTTTTTCTTTTTGTTAAGATTCCAAAAGGCCCCTTTCCTTTCCCCAAACCCTCATTCTGTTTAGTTTCCAAAGATAATTGGGGGAGGGGGAAGTAAATTTAAATTATTCTTACTGCTTTATGTTATGGATGGGTTTGTAAGGGTGAAAAATAAAAACCTGTAACCTGTTGCCATCAAGTCAATTCTAACTCATAGTGACCATGTAGGACAGAGAACTAACTGCCCCATATGGTTTCCAGTGCTGTAATCTACAGGAGTGAACTGCATCTCTCCCCTACCAATAGTGAAATAGGAAGTTAAATTCCACCTTTTTTTCTTTTTCTAATATCTGTGGTAGTTTACTTCATGAAGATAAAGTTAAGTCACAGCAGGAACTCCTGGGTAAGCAGCAGCAAAGTCAGAAATTGTTGAGGTTTCATAGAAGAATGGCCAAAATGTTTATTGGATTTAGCTCTAATGAGGTTACTGGTTACTTTGAAGAGATTGGATTTATTGTGGTGGTGGAAGTGAAAGCCTATCTACTGTGAGTAAAGACGCAAAAAGGAGGTTAAGACAGTAGAGTTGGTGTGTATGGATATTATTTTCAAGAAGTTGGCTTTGAAAGGGTGAAAAGAAGATGACAACCTGTTTAGGCCCCATTCTCAAGAAGTATAAAGACCATAAAATCCAGCCAACTTTTTAAGGGTATGTGGCTGTAAACTTTTCATATTTTACTTTTTGGAACCAAATCTAGTCAACAGTAAATTCTCTAAAAGCATGTTGGAGTATTTGTTTTAATGATTTAACAAGTTTATGTACTGTTTTTGGTAGATAGAAACTACTGCATTTTAGTTTTTGATCAATTTTGGGATACTGTTTATTCAGTTTTTCATTAGGTGCCAGCTATGTGCTGGGCACAAAGGCAGGTAGCATGTTTACAATGAATAAGATCTAGTCCTTGCTCTTGTGTGAATAGATAGATCAAGGAAGACAAACAGAACAACTTATTTTAAGTGTGATAA